GGATTCGACGAAGGAGCGGCCGGCGGGCTTGCGGCAACCACATGTGACGGCCCCGGGCTGGACTCCGCTTCGTCCACGGTGAAAGCCGATCCGGCGATCCACAGCGCGAAGTTGTTGTATTTCCTCAGTGACCAGCACGGATCAGCTCTAGGCATGATGAAGCGGATATCGTCCTCTTTTGGAAAGCCAAACAAAGTTTCGCTTTCACAACGAAACACACAGCATCTCCACGACATGGCGGCAGCAACAATACTACAGCGAGAATCAAAGTTACGCCTTCTTTCTTTGCGTGAACATTTGGGCGGCGTTATGCAAATCTTCCCACACAGTGACATAGACATATGGGGGCGTGTTTAAACAAGGTGTTTTAGGAGGGCGTGGACAAGTCTTAACTTTTATAAAGAATATCTGTTTGGGTTTGAGACTTTAGTCTTTGCAACTTTAGGGATCTTATCGATGCACAAACAGCTTGTAACACTCCAAAGAGAAAGGAACATTTTAAATTGCATCATATGACCACTTTAAGGGGAGGGACATTCATATTTTAGAAAGCATGTAATTAGACCAAAAGAATAAGGAGATGATGTCATCAATATTTTATTTTTGTACATTTTTGTGAAATAGAAAGACTATACATTTTAAATGCATAACTACTGCTCACCAATGCTGCATTTATTTATTCAAAAATACAGTAAAACAATAATATTGTGAAATATTAGTACAGTTTAAATGAAATGTTTTCTGTTTTAATATATTTTAAAATTTAGCCTAATTTATTTCTGTGATGCAAAGCTGAATTTTCAGCATCATTACTCCATTTTTCAGTGTCACGTGATCCTCAGAAATCATTCTAATATGCTGATTTGCTGCTCAAGAAACATTTCTGGTTATTATCAATGTTGAAAAACAGTTGTGCTGCTTCATATTTTTCTGTGATACTTTATGAGAAAAGTTCAAAACAACAGCATTTATTTGAGATAGAAATATTTTGTAGAATTACAAATGTCTTTTACTGTCACTTTTGATCGATTTAATATATCCTTGCTGAATTAAAGTATTAATTTTAAAAAATATATATTTTTTTTAATTTTAATTTAAAAAAAAATACTGACCCCAATTTTGAGTGGTATATGCTAAAAATTATCTAGTAGAGAAAAAATGACTATCATATAGATACATTTATTTAAATATATAACACATAAAATTCACAGTAATAACGCATGATATTTGTAAATAAAATACTTTTATTGGGATAAGCAGAAAAAAAATAAATTGAGTGATTTTAGTTTTTATTTATTGTAGAAATAGTTATAGACTTTCACAGCAAAATACAACCTTCCCAGGGATGTGAGCAGGATGTTTATATAATGAGAATGAATGTCATTTTATATTTGTATTTAAGAGTTTTTGGTGTCCAGACGGGCTTCATATTAGAGTTTGGTTTTAGGGATGAGTCTTCGTAGATAGATGGATGGTAGGAAAGAGAGAAACAGAGAGACGCAGGTGTGAAGATAATTGGGAAAATTGAGAAATGGTGAACTGCTAACAGTGTGATAGACTGTGTGTGTTATTGTACAGCTGCAGTGAAACCATTTACAATCTGTCGCTTTATCAGGCAGGTCTGTCGGGCAGGAGAATGATTAACTAGTACTGCTAGTTTAAAGGTAAAGTGTCTTTTTTGGTGTGAAAATACTTATTTTGTATTTTAATGTGCAGAGACAACTACAAATCAGCAATTTATATAGATTTTTCATAGGAGAACTTTCGAATCAATGTTTAAAGGGTTTGACATGTTAACTTTTGGCTCGACCAATGGCACGAGTTTGAGGTGGGGCTATTTGTTTAACCAAACATTGACAAAACTCATTGGTAAACCTGTTTAAAAAGAATCATCAGTGTTCCGAGTGTAAAGATTGGTTTTGGTTTGGGATTTGAACAAATTTGGATGTTAAAACCAATAAACCATGGAAGAAGGAAGTTAATGTTGATTTCATGTTGACTTGAACCTTTGCTCCACACCACCCACTAAAAAGCACAAATGTTTTGGGGAAGTGCTTTGCCAGGGTGTATCCCTTTACCCCGATCCACAAAAAGATCAACAAAACATGTGGCCGTCACATCGTGTGTTATCATACATCAGCCATCTAGTTTTGTCTCCACAACACAGAACATTATCTTTGTTCTCTGAAAGTACCTGTTGATCGATGAAATGTTTTGATTGAGATTTGTGTTGTAAATAGAGTGATTTTGCCACACAATGAACGTTTGCTGGGTCAGAGCTTTACAGTGTCTGGACTGAAAGCGGTGTCCATGGAAACCATCAGTAGTCCTCCTTCACAATCGCAAGAATCTCTCTCTGTTTGTTTTTGTCTTGTAGTTACTGGTGATTGCTGAGGCAAGCATTACTACTGTTGCTCACACTTAAAGGCACAATATGTAAGATTTTTTGATTCAAATATCCAAAAACCACTAGAATAGTGCTATATATTTTGCTGACTTGTGTACTTACATTATCCCAAATGTTTGACGCTTTGATATGTTGTGCGTTTTAATAGACTGGTGACGACTGCGCAGAGTAGCATTATAACAGAACTTTCAAATGTATCTATATGATAAAACAGCGCTGCTTTTTTTCCCACATACGCACGACCGGAAGGAGCGGAAGCGGTCGACTGTGGCATAATAAAAGCGCCACTGCTTTCGAGCCATGTGTCACGCTCGTTCAGTGGCCTCGTTTTGCATGGCTTTCAGCCTCACCCTGCTTCATTCTACTACGTTAATAAATCATTAGCTCATCCATGAACATGATTTCTGCCCGAGTCCCGTCGGATTGCATTGGCTGTGGGGGATGAAGACGACAACTCCCATGATTCCACACTCAGTCACTGCGTCATCAAACTACGCCTTTGTCTCTGTTTATTTTGAATACGCACGCGCCCTCCAGCGGCGAAAATTCCATATTGTGCCTTTAAGCTCAGAGATTTGAACAAAACACTCTTTTACTTGGGCCATTAAGCAACCATCCTAAACACCGTAATATCTGCACTGCAACAGCTTGACAACTGGCCTAAACACCCTAGCATCTGCACTGCAAATCACCCTGAAAACCATCCTGAACACCCTAACAACTGCAGTGCAACACCCCGAAAACCACCCTGAACACCCTAACATATGCAGTGCAACACTCTAACAACCCTGAACACCCTAACAACTGCACTGCAACACCCTGAAAAACACCCTGAACACCCTAACAACTGCACTGCAACACCCGAACAACCATCCTGATCACCCTAACATATGCAGTACAACACTCTTAACAACCCTAAACACCCTAACAACTGCACTGCAACACCCTGAAAAACACCCTGAACACCCTAACATATGCAGTACAACACTCTAACAACCCTGAACACCCTAACAACTGCTCTGCAACACCCTGAAAAACACCCTGAACACCCTAACAACTGCACTGCAACACCCGAACAACCATCCTGAACACCCTAACAAGTGCTTAGCAATGCCTTTTCTTCCACACCTTTTCAACGACATAGCAACATCCTAAACAACCTAGCAACTGCATGGCAATGCACTTGACAGCAAGAACACCCTAACAACCGCACAAAAATGCCCTGGCACCCACCCTGGACATCCTAGCAACCATATAACATTGCCCTGGCAACCACCCAGAACAGCCTAATATCTTCATAGCAACGCCCTAGTTAAGCAATGCACTGGCCACCCAAAACATCCTATCAACTGCATAGCAATGTCCTAGTAACCACCTAAACACTCTAGCAACTGTATAGCAATGCACTACCCACCCAGAACACCCTAGCAACTGCATAGCAATGCCCTAGTACCCACCTAAACACTCTAGTAACTGTATAGCAATGCACTGGCAACCCAAAACGCCCTAACAACTGCATAGCAAATCCCTTGTATCCACCTAAACACTCTGGCAACTGTATAGCAATGCACTGGCTACCCAAAACGCCCTAACAACTGCATAGCAACTCCCTAGTAACCAACTAGACACTCTAGCAACTGTATAGCAATGCACTGGCCACCCAGAATGCCCAAGCAACTGGATAACAAAGCCCTAGTAACCAACTAAACACTCTAGCAAATGTATAGCAATGCACTGGCCACCCAGAATGCCCTAGCAACTGGATAACAAAGCCCTAGTAACCACCTAAACACTCTAGCAACTGTATAGCAATGCACTGGCTACCCAAAACATCCTAGCAACTACATAGCAACACCCTAGTAACCACCTAAACACTCTGGCAACTGTATAGCAATGCAGTGGCCACCCAGAACTGCATCACAATTCCCTGGCAACCACCTAAACACACTCACAAAAAGCTAGTAGGCAAATATGCTTTAGGATAGCATGAGTAAACTGTCACTCACGTTACACTTAACAAATATTGATTTCTTTTCTGTCATCATTCTCATGGGTCACTTCCTCTTTGCCTTTCTTTTCCTCTTTCATAATTTCCCTCAATCCTCTCTCTCTAGAGTCTTATTCCTATCAGACCAGGTTCAGATTCAGTCTCTGATGCACAATTATAAAACTGATTTAAAAAATAGATCACCCAAAAATGAAATGATATTTGAATGGTTTTTGTCATGAAATGAGGGCGAGTAAATGGCAGAATTTTTCTTTCCTTTTTTTTTTTTTTTGATGAACTAATTCTTTAAAATCACCGATCACAACAATATTGTTTGTTCTATGCTGTGTTTTGACGTGTGAAAAGCCGCTGTTGTTTTGTTTCTAATGTAAGCTGAGGAGTTTTCTGCAATAGAACTTCCATGCTTTTATTGTGTGCATGTGTTCTGCCTTCTTCTCTTTTGGCCTTGTGTTACTCTTGTCTTTTATTGCAGAATTGAAGAAGTGGTGAATGAGAAGTCTTACTGTGTGTGTGTGTGTGTGTGTGTGTGTGTGTGTCGTGTGTGTCAGGCAGTCCATAACTGGAGTGTGTTTATGTGTGTTTCAGGGCAGTGATGCCGGGCATGGTACTGTTTCGGCGACGCTGGTCAGTCGGCAGTGATGACCTAGTGTTACCGGCTTTCTTCCTGTTCATACTACACTGCATATGGTGAGTCAGTATTTGTGTTTGTCTGTACAGTTTGTTCTTTTACATTCATGCATGAGTTAAGCAATCAAACCAGTAAACAATAAGCTCTTAGAGCCAGGACTGTGAGTTCAATAGAAGTCTTAAGAGTTGAATTTAGACATTAGTCTTGCAATATAATAGCAGTTCCCAACCATTTGAATGAGTTGCACAATGATGTAAGTTATTTATTTGAAGTACACAAATATTTTAAACAATGTTTACCTTTTAAAATATAGTATATTTCATAATAGTTTTACATGTTGTTTACTTGTAATTATTATTAAATGTAAGTTTTTAGTTACAATTATTTTTAATTTCATTCAGTTTTAATGTTAGATTTTAGATTTGATATGTATACACATACGTACATATGTATATGTATATATGTCATTGTTTCCCCTGCCATTATATTAGGGGGGCGGCCCTTAAGGTCAAGTTAATTTTATTTAATTATATTTTCTCTATAGCGCCAGATCACAACAGAAGTCATTTAAAGTTACCTTTCCGATAGAACATGTCATATTTAAATATGAATTCTGCGTGTCTCTGTGTCAATGAATGGCGCAGATGTGCGGTTTTGTTTACTACTCGTACTAAAGCATGCGTGACGCTTCCGGTGATATTAGAGTCTGCTGTTTTACTAAATGAGGACATAAATATATGAACAACATCTCCAGAACTGCTCTGAAAGTCACTTCATGAGCATTTGACCGTTTCATTTGAGTAAAACTACCCTCATATCATATACACAGAGAAATGTAAAGGTATTCACGGCAACCCGTCAAAATTAAAGTTCGGTTTAACTTGAAGGCATTGCGGCAGAAATATATTACTATTGTTGAGTAGAATGTACATAACAGGCTGCTACTACTACTACTAAAATTATTAAAACATTATTTTGAAGGAATAATCATACAATATTTATTCAATGTTTTAATTGTAATACTAAATCCCCTTTATTTTCCAAAAAAATTAAATGTGTTTAATTTTTATTATTTAAAAGATAAATTAAATGAACGTTTTATGCCTTAAAAAATATAAATACTCAACAGAATTTCTGAGGGGAAAAAATCGTAAGGCTATTGTAAGAATAATTGAAACTTGTTTTTATGCTTTCAAATAATCAGACATGCTAAAACAGAATTTGGTTACAATAAAACATAAGGTTGGAAAAAAAAAACATTTCATAGGGCCCTAAACATGTAATCTTTGTTAAACTTTTAATAAATTGATGTTAAGTTTCATGATTTTAATTCATTAGACATGCTTTTTGATTAATAAAATGTAATTTAACCATTAAAAAGGACACCTGAGCAGTGCCACAGGCTGATTGCCTCCATGCCACGCCGCTGACCAATATAAGTTGTAATTGTTATTAACAGTTCTGTTTATTTCATACACATTTTGCCAACTGCTAATAAAGAACAAAAATTATACTCATTTTGGATATTTTGAGGTGACAGACTCGTGCAACCAAACTAGAGTTCCCATCATTCTCTGTGTCAGCACAAGAATTATTAAGTACACAGATAAAGTATCGATTGCATGACGTAATCTTTGGCTCGTTATAAACTAAATTAACTATTTTTGTTGGCAAGTGGAAAAGAAATGTGAAATATGAAATTGCCCAACGGGTTCATTTGTATACTGGAAATCATTTTAACGCACCTCTTGTCATAAATGTCTGATTTCCGTGATGTGTATGTTCATGTGATGCTGTGGCTGTGCTCTTTCGGCAGGCTCGTGGTTCTGTCCGTGGTTCTCTTTGGGCTGCCGTACAGTTCAGAGCAATCATGCTCAGTCACGCTGGTGGATCACGGTCGTGGTTACCTCGGCATCCTGGTCAGCTGTCTGATCTGCGAGAGCGCCATCATGTGGCTGAGCATGAGAGGCAGCATCCTGTACACACAACCCAGAGAGGCAGTGCAGTACGTGCTCTATATACGGCTGGGTAAGACACACACTTGCATATTTATAAAAACAACCATGAAAAATCTTTCATCAGTTCTCTCAGTACATGCAATCTCATATGTCAACTCTGTTAACTGTAGTGATCCATCATAGACATGCTTCTGAAGCAAATGCAATTCCAAATTTTAAGGCAGCATTGCAAGTATCATTTGTGGAGAAAGCAATCCCAGAATGCATTGCAAGGGACCCTTTTCACAAGACAGTCATCAGCATCGTAAATCATCAAGTTTTTTATATGAATGTATGTACATTTATAACACTATACTTTGTATTATATCACCGTTGCATCAAATTACAAAAAAAACTAGTTAACGCTAATGTGAGGGTGTTTCTAATGCAGCGTCTATGGGAGGGACGCTAAATTTGACATCGTTCTCTCTTCTGACTGCCGTTATCAGTCTCTCTCATTTTTTTCCTTTGATTGAAAGACGTGAAAACACTATTGTGGAGTTTTTCTTTTGCTATTTGAGCAAATGGGAATTGAAAAAATATATTTATGGTACTCTCCCATTTACTGCTCTCGAAGTTTACCCAACTATGACGACTTCCGCTACAGAGAACCCCACAAATGTGAAAAAGGTCTACGAGCTCAGTGAAAAAATCCTGAGCTCTTAATATCAAAACTAAGGACTAGACTTGTGCCGGTATTCGGTAATGCGATATATCACGGTACTGAATATGCACGATATTGTTATCGTGGGCACTTCTAAATAACGTGAATAATTCTATATTACAAATTATTCCGAATTTTGAATGCATTTTAAAAATGCTTTTCCCATCAACTGCTGCATGTTTGTGATTTTTTTTTTCTCCATGTAAGCTATAGCTTCTGACCTTTAAATCAAAACATACTCATGATTTTATGGCATCAATTACTGCTTTATTTAATCAGAAACACGGTATAAATATTATTTGTGTATTTTACTTTCATTTAATTAGAAGTAGGCCAACAGCGCCCGCTTCGGAATCAAAACTCCATACTGAATGGGCTTTAGGACCCGGGGGAGGCTGCTGCTGCTGCCACTGCACGTGCTATTACGGTTTACTCTATCATACACCGAAGCGTCATTCTGTTTGTGCATTCTCAGTTCAAATGCAGCATCCAAAACAGTGAATCTAATCAACATTCAGGCAAAATTTTGCTTCAAGGATGAGCCACAATGCTGACATGATATAATTGCACTGTTGACGTGATCTAATCGCTAGCACACCCTGAGCACATGCGAGTTAATGTATTCCTCTTATTGGCAAGACATATCGGCATAATTTTTCATATCAGGCCGATGCCGATATTTACATTTAAAGCCATTATCGGCCGATTCCGATATTGGTCCGATAATATCGTGCATCCCTAACAAAAACCGATCAATCTAATTGAAGTGGACTATTTTCTACAGTGATTGTGTGCTTTTGCGCTTTTTCTGATACACACATGTGGATTAGAAGTTTATGGAAGCTTGCTTCCGCCACAGAATTAAAAAAAAAATGTAATTGGGACTTTTAGTCTCACAATTCTGACTTTGTTTCTTTCGATTGCCAGTTTATATCTTACAATTAAGACTGTTTTCCAGAATTGAAAATGTATATCTTGATATTCTGACGTTTTTTTTCTCAATATTAAGTTTACATCTCACAATTCTGTTTTTTGTTTCCGCCATGGGATAAAAATATTTTAAAAAAGGTAGTTGATTCTTTTTATCTCACAATTCAAATTTTTTTCCTCGCAATTGCAAATTCACATCTTGCAATTCTTACTTTTTTTCCCTCAGAATTCTGAGTTTACTTTTTTTTTCGCAGAATTTTGAGATTACATCTTTCAACTCATTTTTCGTTCATTTCTGCCATGGAATAAAAAAAGGTAATTTCAACTTTTTATTGACTCTTGTCAGTTTTTCAAATTTATATCTCGCTATTATAAGTTACAAACTTGCAATTCAGACTTTTTTTCAGAATTGCAAGGGGAAAAAAATCTGAATTGTGAGAAAGAAAGTTAATTCACAAATTGCCCTTTTTATTTTTATTTTTTATCCCCTTGTGGAAACAGGCTTTCATTTGACCAAGTTTGGAGGTTTGACCAAATCAATGAGCAAGGTGTGAGCAATAATAAAACTGATGCTTACCATAACAAGATTTTTTGGGTTGCATTGTTTCATTGCAGATTGACAGTGCAACGTGTGGTTAGGCCTTAAATCAACACTTGACATTAATTGTTATTCCTCTCTGCAGCCATCCTGCTAGTGGAGCTGGTGTACGCGGTGGTCGGCATCGCCTGGTTGGTGCAGTACTACCAGCCCTGCTCCGACATCACCGCCAAGAACCTCGCCCTGGGTAAGACATGAATAAAAACAATAAGTGACATACTATATAGGAGGGTCGGAAATATGACTACATTTCTGACAATGAGTAATTTTGTAATCGTCTTAATGGTATATATACTGATATTGTTGTTTTCTTTAAATTAAATGAAAAACTAGTTTATATTTTAGCAACCATGTGGTTGTAACAACCACTGCTTATTTTTGGATAATTCAGTAAATTAATGTACAAAATGAAACTAAAGGTTCTAGCTTGCTTCTTTATCTAGTTGTCAAATAAACCTGGCATTGTGTATTACAATTATTGTTGGCTCCTTCACAAATTGCTTTTGTTCCTCACTTTGGATAAAAGCGTATTTGATCTCATTTTATCTTTTTCTCTCTATTTTAATTTGCAGACCAAAAGATAAGATTGTTCATAACGAATGTATCAGAAGTCTGGGATCAGAGCCACATTTGAAGCTGTTTTAAATTCTGTATTAATGTGACAAGTTGCATCATTGTTCAACAACAGTAAAAGGTTAAACTGGGACACATCGTACTCTGCATTTTCATGTTACCCTTATCTGTCACTCTTATGTTTAAAGGGGTCATATGATGCGATTTCAATTTTTCCTTTCTCTTTGGTGTGTTACAAGCTCTTGGTTAACGTACTCGGTTACTAACGTAACCTCGGCTCCCTGAGATACGGGAACGAGTACTGCGTCGCTAGACACTACGGGAAACTCCTTTTCTCCGATTTACTGAAGCCTTTTTTTCAGAAATGAACCAATGACGGCGCAGAGGAGCTGCGTGAGCCTATGGCGAAGCAGCGCGCCCGAGCCCGCCAAAATGGGCGGGGCATCTGGCTATATAAGCAGGTGCTCGGC